TGTAATTTTATTTTTAATTTTTAACTTTTATATTTTAATATTTTATTTTTATATTTATATTTTAAATTTTTTTATATTTAAAAATAAAAATAAAAATAATTCATGTGACGGATACTTGTCAACCACATGACGCTCACCTGGCCGACACGTGTCCGTCTGCATATGCAAGTGCCACATAGACATTGAGAACTAAATTGAGAGAATTTTTCAATTGCAAAACTATTTTAAGATAACTTCCAATTATAAGACTAAAATGATAAAATGATCTGTTTACCCTAATAATGATAATACTCCCTCCGTCTCAATACAATAGTCTTGTTTACCATTTTTGTCCGTCCCAAAACAATAGTCTCATTTCCATAAATAATCGTATCACCATAAAACTAACATTACTTTTTCATTATTATTACACAATTGCCACTACTTTTTACACTAATATGCTCACAAGGACAAAAAAGTCATTTATCTTAACTTTTTACCAACTTCCAATATAATATCAAAAAATTTTAAATTCTATATCCAATCTAACAAGACTATACTTTTGAGACGGAGGGAGTATATGTATACAATATTTCTTCACCTCATTCTCTTCTTAATTTTTCATTTTTTAATTTTAAAAAGAATTTGAATGTCGGACTCCGCTCTTTTTTTATGGAACTTTTTATTTTTATTTTTTATGCGGGTTACTTTCATTTTAATTGTGTTATAACATTCTTACCATTGCTACATTTACTTCATTATTTTTTTCTTATCTCCCATTATATTAATCACCATCAAACACAATATCTTTACTATTTCACAGACTCACAATAATTTATTCAATTTCCATATACTTTTATTACATAATATATATAAAAATTAATTATTTATTTATACATATTTTATTATCTAATAAATTTTTTATATTTTTAAATATTAATCTATATAAATTTTAATACTATATTGAAACATATAATTTACAATTTTAAAAATTAAAATTATTTGAAATAAATCAAAATATATTTATAGATAATTTTTTGTTAAATATAAACTTTAAAATTTTAAATTTTTAAATTTTTTAAAATAATATTTAGTTATTATTATTATTTTATTTTATTTTTTTAAGGTAACCAATTTTTAATAAAGATAAGAAATACTTAATAATTATATTTCTTATCAAAGGTAATAAGAAAAATAAGTAGTTTTTAAAAAAAAATTGAAAAGACAATTATAAATGTAATAAGAATGAATATGGTTTGTGTATTTATGTATTTATTATATATTCTTCCAATTTCATTATGTCATATATTTTTTTTGGTAGCTTATTAAAGGAGTATTAAAAAATTATTTATTTTGAAATTAATTGATATGATAGTATGTAACACTCCGAGTTGGATCGGTGCTAGGCCAATTCCCGTGGATAAGTCGGTGTCAGACCATCCGAGATTGAATATATGTTAAATGAATTGAATACATTACTACTGTCAACAATGTGTATATTCCTTTTCGGAAACCTATTGAAAAAGAGTTAAGCGTACTTGCCCTAGAATAATTGGAGGATGAGTGAACCTCCATGAGACTTCTCACGGTGCGTATGAGTGAGGATAGAAACACGCTGGAAGATGACCTCCCTGTGAAGGATTCGTGTTGATCTGTGAGCTCAGGCTACAATTCCGATATGCTCGACTTCTTTGTGACTTGCGGGCCAATGTGTCACAAGTAGGGTGATATATTTGAATTATTTAACGTAAACATATATATATTATTTGAATCTTAAAATGGTGTTATGGCCTATGGATATGGTTTGTGTATTTATGTATTTATTATATATTCCTCCAATTTAATTATGTCATATTTTTTTGGCACGGTTATTAAGAAAAAATTTAAAAAATTAATTATTTTGAAATTAGTTGATATGATAGTTGTAATAGAGTAATATAATTTTATTTATTCAACGTAAATAATTTTTTTATTTAGATAAATTGTTTTTTTGAGTATTTGTAACAATATTTAAAAATTTTAAAATATAAAATTTTATTTAAAAGATTAAAATTATTTTTATTTTGATATTTTAAAAAAATTAGCTCGGTAAAGCTACAGTTGAGTATGATTTTTTGTATTTTGTTTGAGTATGATTTTTTGTATTTTGTTTGAGTCGGATCTTCAAATCATATTCATTTTTTTATATTCTAATTAACTGTAACCAATATATATATATATATATATATCGATATTGTATCAAAAAATTAGTGGCACATCCCAACCGGGAGTGTATCCCGATCGATGAGAAGGGAGACCAAGTATTCCTTTCTTTTTTGTTGCATGGTTGGCATAGCGGTGGACGGGAAGGACTAGGAATGGTTTTTCTGCCTCTTCGGGGAACTTAAGCTTGTCCTCTCTCTTTAGTGGTTTTTCGTTTTGGAGGCGATGTAGGTGTGTCGGCTGAGGGGCCATGGAAGGTGCCCAGGATGACCACTGAGGTCGGGAACAAGATTCCCATGCATTTGGGCTAAAGGACGTCCGATCACCACTTTGATGATTTTCCACCATTCCCGGAAATCCTCGATGGTGGCTGTGATCGGTACGGAGGGTATATAGGAGTTGGAAGTAATGTAGATTGGAGAGTTGGTCAATGTAGGGTTTGATTTGGTTGGATCGGGTCATGTCATTAGAAGTGATGGAAATGAAGTAGGGCGGAGATAAAGGACCTGAGAAGCCCTCGCGGTAGTTAAGTATTGAGGTTGCTAGTGATAGACAAACATAAGTCTTTTTTTTTTTTTTTTCTCAAGTTGTTTAATTGGGAAGAGGGTTCAAGGTTTGGTCGGTTATGAAATTCCAATCCACAAGAGTTTTCGGCAAATCCTTCTTAGCTACTTCTTGTTTGGATGTAATTGCTCTTGGTGGTTTTGAAGTTAGCCAATGCCTCGACATCTACATTTGATTATGCCATTAATATACTGCTGCGTGGATTAGAAATAGTGAGAGAAACGGCAGATGAAGTGGCTAATCGAGACGGAAATGAGATGAAACACGACGCCGCTAGCTGTTTGAATCAACGGGCAACGGCATGGGGGCGGTCGATTCAGAAGGGTTTGGGGATCGCAAAATCATTAGTCACAGAGGCAATATTCGAATCAATGATGACAGCATGTGGGCGGTCAAATCTTGTCGACGGTGAGAGGGCAGAGTTTCTTTAGAGTAAAAGTGGCGAGGGTAGTTGAGGCTGTGGGTGGAGAAGAAAGGAGGGATGACTAAATTAGGATAGTTTTTCTTTGATTTTATTTTAATTTTTTTAATTGTTAAAGGTATCTCACAATTTATAAATTAATTGTGATATATGAAAATAATACTCTCTCCGACCCAAATACCTTGTAACATTTTCCAAATACCTTGTAACATTTTCTTTTTTATTTGTCCCAAACTGACTGCAATATTTCTAAATTTATAATAATTAATAATATTTATATACATATATTAATATATACTTCACTTTATCGTATCACATCACTCAAATAAAAAATAAATAATCTTTTATCTCTTTAATCACATCACTTAATATTTAAATTATCTCAAATTATCATACTTAATATTTCCCCCTAAATTCTCATGCCAAACACAACTATTGTACACTATTTTGGTACGGAGGGACTATTAATTAATAAAAATATAATATGGATCATTCTACAAAACGTAGCAACAAATATTATTTTAGATGTATTATATAACAAATATTTTTGTAACTAATTATGATTTATTTTCCTAAAAATAAATCCTTAAATTGAGACGGCATTTTTGTAATCAATCTTGTTATTTTAAGAAATCATAAACTCCAATTAATTTCATAGATAATTGTTGGAACATAAAATCCCTTCATCTATTTTGGCATATGGATCTTCCATTCTTTCCTGTCGCTGCCTTTCACAATTTTTATTTGTAATAACATGTCATGTTTGGTTGTTGCAACAAGCTGACTACAACCTTTGGAGTTGGTTGCATCTTGTGGCTGCATGGGTGTTCTGCTCGGGTGTGGGCTCGTGGAAAAAAGGAGATTGTTTTGGGTAATCAATCTGTTACAAAATTCATGCAGACACATCATTCTTTTTATGTGCAAAGAGTTTTAATTCGTTTTGTCTTATATGCATAGCAAGGTGGCTTTGTAGATAATTGTGAGGAGAGAGTCTTGTAGTTGAAAGGGTTTTGAGAGTAGAGTATAGTGAGAGAAAGTGTGTTCAATCCTTTCAATCTCAACCATTCTCTTCTCCATATATTGAGTGAGTGCTAGACATTTTTACTTGCCGTAGACCTTGTCGGAGGAAGGAGAAAATGAAGTTCCGATCAGAGGAGACGTCCAGATTCTGAGCAGCTTTGCTCAGTGGTCGTTGTCCGTACGAGTTTGTGACAACATAAGCCTGTGGAAGGAATTTTCAAGGTACGCTATAGTAGGAGGTTGAGTTGAAAGGAGTTGTAGTTGTAGTTGTCTTTGTTCTTAATCAGCACTGATTAGTGAACTTCTCATAAATTTGTATCCCGGTATGCAGGATTATTTATATCCGAACCGAGTAAACAAACCCTTATCTCATTTACTGCTTTATATTTCCGCATGCATTCAGTTAGCAGTAGAATATTATAATTGTGATATAACTAGGGAGGTGGCCCTTGAATAGGTGTTTGAAGGAGTTTTTGGTGGAGCACCTATTCTCCCAATAATTTATGCATACAATAGCTAAACCATCTGGTCCATCTCATTATGGTAAATAAATCAAGGTAATATTTCATCACATATTAGTAATCAATATAACTGGTTCATAAATAATATAGCTTCCCTAATTATTTTGAAGCTAAATGTGTTATATTAATTTCGATAACATTAAAATTTGTCTATTCTCGAATGCATGGATCGAATTTTTTTTTTTTTTTTTTTTTGGTAAACTTCCAGTTTATTTCTTTGTGATATATTTCCCCACTCAATAAAATATTGATTACTTCTTACGTTAGTTGGTGTACACAATAACACACCAATGTTCATGGACAGTAATATTTCTCACATAATATTATTATGGCGATGCATACATAGAGAGGATCACAGATGATCGATCTCGTGCAAATTATTCCTTAGGCAAACAGGCGTAGTTATAAGTAGACATGGATCGGATTTAATTTAAAGTAGCTAGGGCTGATGTTCTTAAGAGTGGCGTCATTCTCATCTTCACTTAAATTTAGGGTTTCGTTCAAGGGTTAGTAGCATCGACATCTCCGTCTGTGTTGCCATTAGTGTAGCGGCAGCACCAGCGAATGCAGCCATAGCGTCCTCGCCGGCAACAGTAGCGGTTGCGGCAGGGACGGCCTTGCTCAGTCCCCTCAGCTGTGTAATTAGAACATAGCGTGAGTTAATTATAAGTTCCTCCAATGGAAAAAGCATAATCGACATATATTCAAATTATATACCAAATATGAAGAATTAAAACTCTAGGAAATATAATATGCTATGCGGTCCTTGTACTTACACGTAGCTTCGACTGAGGTCTCGGTCTCGGACAAATCCCTAGCCAAAACATCGGAGGAAATGAGGATGGCTATAGCCAAGCAAAGGACAAGAAACATCGATACTTTGGAAGCCATTACACCTGTAAATATTTTTGTATGAATTATTATTTGATGGTATGAAATTGTTTTGGATGAAAATGAAGAAGCTTTGGATTCTCTATTTATAGCAAAAAATGGCAAGAGAAGATATATTTAAATAATAATAAATAAAGACTATAGAGTCTTTGAGATATATAAGTGATCATGAATGTAATTTTCGAGCATGTCTGAGGTGTAGGTCCAATTTTGTTGAATATATAAACATTAGAGACAGGCACAATTTGGTTGTTTGTAAAATATACAACTATTTGATATTCAAATCCAATCCAACATATTTTCCAAAATTGTAGATCATATTTGTTCCAAAATTGAAGATCATATTTGAACCAAAATTTTTGATTCATCGAAAAAATTTATATTATTTTTAAACAATTTGAATTATATTAAATATAATTAATAAATAATATAAATTTAAATTAATCGAAAATATTTGCAAGTATTTCAAAACAAATAGAATGACTGTGGATCCGGTATTGACCCAATTAAATGAGCGTAATACTGATTTGATCAGGAAACATATCACATATGGGTAATCAACATATATGTATATTTACGATACAACAGATGTTATGTTATAACTTATCATATGATATTTTATAATATAATATATGTTGTGTTAATTTTATACCTTTATTGTATATGCTGATCGAGTCAAATCAGTGTTAATTTGATCAAATCAATATCTGATCCACGCTCGAAATCCAACCACAATTGCATATATTTTTAATTGTAAAAATATACTAATATGAATATTAATACTTCATCGGTCCCGCCATAAGATATACATTTATTTTTAACACGAAGTTTAACAAATTATAGTATTTTAACAAAATTGAGTAGTTAAAGTAGTGTAAAGATAATTTTACCTTTATTTTATTTTAAAAAAATAATGATGCCGATGATAAAATAAAATTATTTATATAATATAACGAGATAATAATTACTAAAAAGATAAATGTATATGTTACGTTGAAGGAACATAAATGAATTATATATATTAAGACCGGACAAAGAGAGTAATATTTAATTTGCTAATATAACTATTCATATAATTTTTAAATATAATAATATGAATAAAGTCAAGTTAATAGATAAGATACTAAAAATTGAAACCAAATCAGATCGAACAAAGATCTAATATAGAGTATTTTATTTGAATAGGATTTTCACAATTAACCTAAAATTCCCTTCCAACCAATTCGATCTCGTGGTTCAATGGTTCGGATTATAAATCCTAGGTTAAATGTAACTATTTGAGCTATAAGTCAGATTAAGCCTATATTAAATGATTTATTAATTTATTGGACTTATATGTATTTTGTAAGTGCGGGCCTCCTATGTGCAGAAACCCGGTAACTTATTAATTTGGTGATGAAATCCATTAATAATAAGGGATATAAATAGGGTTGTGATCCCAAGTCTAGACGCAACATCTATTACTTTCCATATCTCAGTGGTAGTAACGGTAGAAACCTTAACGGTTCTCTCAGGAGGGATTGCGTCATAACACGAAACCCTCCATCGAATTGTAAATTTGAATCCGACTATACTGAAGAATAAAGTTAGATCTTATTAGTTTTATTTTCTTATCTCAATTATTACAACACGGTAGATGGACTTAGGGTTAAATTGCTAATAAATTCCAACATTTTGTCCAACCCTTACAAATACAATGCCATTGTGTTACGACATAAATTGAATCTTTGTGTTTTGAAAAACTTTTATCCTAAATTTGACTAATAAGATGAGATTATGGTAACTTTATCATATTATATTGGTAATGCCTCAATTGTCAAATATAGACAAAACAAGTGGAGATAATTTATATTTTCTCTTTGCCGTATTTATAGGTAATTAAAAATCATGGGTGTGTTTAGCTGAGGCATTTTGGTTTTAGTTCTACTATTTCAATAAATTTTATTGTTAAAAAATATTAAATGAAATACTTAATTTTTATTTATAATATTAAATTTAAATTTACTTTTATATCATATTAATAAATTATTTTAATTTATTATTTTTTATTCAAAACCAAAACCTCGTCGACAAAAATACACATATTTTGGAATTTAGCGAACCATTTTTTCACTTTTACATTACTTTTTCAAAGATACGTGTTTGTTTATTTTCCAATCACTTTTTACAGAGATATGGATAAGTTTTTCTTCATATATTTATCATTTCTCTTGTAACTTTATATTTGTATCTCTATCGTTCACAAATAAATAGATTTACGTATATCTACATTCTCATATTCTTAAAAATATTAATTTATATTGATCATAAATAAATATCTATTATATACTTGTACTGTATAAAATTTATTATTTGCTTAATAATATACATATTAAATATATTTTATTAAATATAATTTTAAAAATATTTAAATATATATTTTAACTTTATTTTATTCATATATATATTACATAATCAATAAATATTAATTAAATAAATCTTCAAACAAAAACTCCAACCACAAATAAAATAATTAACAAAAAACAGAGTAATTCGTAATTAGATTTTAAATGCAAACAGAAAAAATATAATAATAATGAATTATTTATAGTTGTTCGTTGATTATTACCTAAGTTTATAGTAGTTATAAAATAATTCTTCCTAAAACATTAACTCAAACACATATTTTTATTTTTATATTATATTAAAAAATTATTTTATATTTAAAATATCATATAATATATTACTCCTTCTGTCCCAGATACCGTGTCTGCTACACTGTAGACACGATATTTTAGGAGGAGTGTAATTAGTAGATTATTAAGAATGTATTAGTGAAAATAATTATCGTATAATATAAATAATTATAAATAAAGATTAAGATAACTAATTAGTTTAATTAAAATAAAAAAATAAAAAAAAAATTGAAATGAGATTAAAGTGTGTAATCATTTTCCAAAAAAGGAAAGTGACATGGTATGTGGGACGGACAGAAACGAAAACGTGGACATAGTATGTGGAACAGTGTGAGTAATTGATTGGATAATATAGATATCCAATCCAACGGATGAAAAGTGAAGATGAAATCCAAACGAACGCTTATGATTGTTGTGACATTGATAAATGAATTTATATAATTTATAATATATAATAATTGATTGGATAATATAGATATCCAATCCAACGGATGAAATGAAGATGAAATCCAAACGAACGCTCATGATTGCTCTGACGTAGATAAATGAATTTATATAATTTATAATATATAATAATTGATTGGATAATATACATATCCAATCCAATGGATGAAATGTAAATGAAATCCAAACGAACGCTCATGATTACTTTGACATGGATAAATGAATTTTTATAATTTATAATATATAATAATTGATTGGATAATATAGATATCAAATCCAACGGATGAAATGAAGATGAAATCCAAACGAATGGTTCAGATTGCTTTTGGTATAGATAAGTAGATTGTTATAATATGTATATATATATATATATAGTCAAATATAATATAAATAATTGAGATGGGTCAAAAAAGTGTTTTGATCCAACGGCTAGGGTGTTGTGAAATCTAAATGAACGTCTGAGATTAAGTTTCACAATGGATAAGATTTTTGATATCTATCCAAAATTTGTCTATAAATATATGTTTCCACTCTTTGAATTATTGCACCAAAATCACTCACTTCTCATTGTAATATAACAAAAGTTTATCAAAATTTCTTCTCAAAATGTCCATCCGAGGTGGTGGTTATAGTCATGACGAAGATGTGTTGCTATGCCAACATTATTTAGATATCTCGCAAGATCCAATTACCGGAAGGCAGCAATCCAGGGATCAATTTTGGAATCGAATCACTGATGCATACAACCAAACTAAAAATCCTGATTGGGAGATACGTAGTGCAAGATCTGAACAAAATCGGATCCAAGCCATGAAGAAAGCTGTTCGAAAGTTACTTGCTTGTATCAAGAAAGTAGAAACTTTAAAACCAGTGGAGCTTCAGAGATAGATATTGTAAGTCATTTCTTAAATTTATTGTTAATATATGTATAGCTTGAAAGTTCTGTTTGTAACCTTAAAATCTTGTTTGCAGTTAAATCAAGCAAATGAGATACAAACGAAGGAAGATGCAAGTTTTAAAAAAGGTTTTAAATTTGATCATGTTTGGAATTTGTTATAAGATTTTGAAAAATTTAATGATCATAATGAAGCTAGAAACCCATATAAAATACCTCAAAAAAATAATTCCACTCATGTATCATTATCGTCGGATAACACTGCTTTTGAATACCCTGGAAATTCATCATTTTTTGTTAACTTAGACGATGATAAGAGTAGATTAAATTTAAATTATAATGTTGGTGGTCTTTATATGAGCGCCTCATGGGGGTGAAAAAAGCGAAGCAGCAGAAGAAAAATAAAGATAAAAAAAAAATGCTTATGTTAGTGAAGTTAAAGAACAAAATTCAATGGTTCTGAAAATACTACAAAAAATCAAATTTGCACAGGCAAGAATTTTTGCAACTGAAACGAGAGAAATTAGCATTTTAAGAGAATGACACGCGGGGAAAATATTATGAATATGGAGTTGAATGTTATTTCTGATCATGCACAACGTGCTTATTACCGGCTCAAGAAAGATGAAATTTTACATAAAAGAACAATGGAATTTCAGGGATCAAATCCACAGTCTTCTTCGAATATGTTTTCTCAATATTTCAGTGATATTGGTGGAGATGGAAATGCTGATATTCGTTCGTATAAGATCAGTGTATTTTAATATTTTATGCAATTGTATTTTATCAATATAATTTTTTTATGCAATTTGTTTTATGTAATTTGAATTCTATCAATGTAATATTTTATGTAATTTGCATCCTATGCAACGTGCATTTGTATTTTAATTTTATTTGCTAAATAATTTTATAAAATATATTATTTTCAAGTTTAAATAAATTTAAATTTAAATACAAACATATCGTTTTTTTAATTATTATACATACATATTATAATTTTTTTTGGAAAATATATAAAATAATTAATTTTAAAATAAAAATTAAACATAACTTTTTACAAAGTAAAATTACATGTTAATTAAAAAAATAAAATTACATATCACTTTAAAAAAAATAAAAATTATATCACTTTTCAAACAGTAAAATTAAAGTATATCAATTTAAAAAATAAAATTATACATTATTTTTTTAAAAAATAAAATTACATACAATTTTTAAGATATAAAATTATATATCATTTACTAAAAAATTAAAATTATACAATACACCCAAAAATACCAAAAATATAAAAAACACCACAAAAACTCCACTCTAAAAATGAATGGAGTAACACTTGTATATCTGCAAAGGGGGGGGGGGGGGGGATTTGGGGGTGGGTTGGGGCCCCTCCCCTTCATTTTTTATATAAATGCAATAGGTTGGAGATGATCTTAATTACAATAAATATGTTTCGTTAAAGTTTTATTTGGAAAAAAAAATCATTGGGACAAAAATCATAGTAAAAAAAAAAAAAAAAGATAGTCATGCATTAAAAATACTCCCCCTGATATGTATATGATTTGAAATATCGCAATCGACGTATCCCGATATTCTTTATCGATTTTTTGAACGTTGCAGACGGTAAAGCCTTGGTCAATAAAGCTGCTAAATTATCATTGGATCGAATATGCAACATATCTGTTTCACCATTTTTCTGAAGATTATGTGTGAAGAAAATTTTTGGTGAAATATGTTTCGTCCTATCTCCTTTGTGATATTCTCCTTTCGGTTGCGATATACAAACTGCATTATCTTCGTATAAAATAATAGGTGGATTATCATTTTCAGATTTCAAACCACAATTCTTTAAAATATAGTGAATCATTGATCTCAACTATACACGTTCTCGACTAGCCGCATGAATTACTATTATTTCAGCATGACTTGAAGATGTTGCGGTAAATTTTTTTTAGCGGATCTCCAGGATACCACTGTACTGCCACAAGTAAATATATAGCCAGTTTGGGACTTGGCTTTATGCGGGTCAAAAAGATATACAACATCTGTATATCAAATCAATTCATGTCGAGAATCTTTTTAATATAATAAACTGAGATCAATCGTTCCTTGGAGATAACGAAAAGTACATTTAATGTCTTTCCAATGTCGTCGTGTTAGCATTGCACTAAATCTAGCTAACAAATTTACAGCAAATGCTATGTCTGGTCTTGTATTATTAGCAAGATACATAGTGCGTCAATAGCACTTACATGTACTTCAGGACCAAGTGCTTCTTCATTTTGTTTTTTTCCGGTTTAAAAGGATCCTTAATAGGATCGAGAGTTCTAATGACCATTGTAGTACTTAATTAAATGTGTTTTATCAATTGAAAATCATTTCAGTATATGCATATTGATGGATCAATATTCTATTTTCCAAATGTTCAATTTGTAAACCAAGGAAAAATTTTGTTTATGTAAAATCCTTGATTTAAAATTCCTTTTTCAAGTATTCAGTGGTTTCTTGAAGCTTTTATGGAGTTCTAATTAAGTTTAAACCGTCCACATACACAACTATGAATACATTGACCAAAATTGAGTTTAATGAAACATATTCTCTAGTAATTGATAGAATAACATTTCAATATCTAGTTAGTTTAGTAGTTCATGAAAATTTGGATATGCGTCTGATGGACGTCATAACAACTTATTTATATGACTCATTGGATAGTGATATCTACATGAAAATTTCTAAAGGATTTCTAATAGATGCATCAATTAGCACCATAAAATATCTGAATGGTCTCGATTGTGGATCTATTGGCCTACATATATCTCCCTGAATTTGTTCTAAAAATGCAAGGGAATCAGTTCTCATTTTTGTTGGTGATAGTCTAGTTATTAATTTTCTTTTTGAGTAAACAACACATTTTATAACTCATTTGTATTTAATACTCTTTGATTTTCTAAATTATAGCCATGGGTATTTTCTAAAATTCATCTCATTATAGTATTACCGGGATGCCCAAATCAGTCATGTCAAATCGTAAAATTTGTAGACTTTTGGTCTACCATATATGTTTCAACTGTATTAATCTTTGTGTAATATAAACTCGAACACAATTAAGATAATTTTTACAATATATATTTGTAACCATCAATGAGTTTTATAATTAACAAGAATTCATTATTTGTCTTACTTGATGTCTCAATATGATATCAATTTCAGCGAATATCATTAAAACTTAACAAATTTCTTTGGAATTTGCTAGAATATAATGCATTTGGGACATAAGTTTTAATCCTTCGGGAAGAAATACTATCGCTCTTCTTAAGTTCTCAATTAATTTCGCACAACCATCTATAGCATTCACTTGAATTTTTCCCAATTTCAGATTGGTAAAATATGTCTTATATTTTAGGATAGTGTCAATGAGATATAAATTGTCTTCCGTATTATTTATTATAGTGCGTTCAACATTCATATTACTTTTTTTGGAAGAAATATAAGAATAAATATATCTGTAAGTTTGAAGAAAATACATAATTGTCATATTATTACATTGTACTTTCCGAGTTTTCATGGTATCCTCCTTCAGAGTGTTCCAGAAAGTCAATACATGTAACTGTGTATTATCAGTACATTTATCATTTTCGCTATTCCATTGGCAATATTATCTGAAAAATTAATTTTTGGGGCTTTAGCATCTCCAGGTGCTTTGTTTTTCTGTTTCAAATAGTTTGGGTACAACTCTACGAAATAAGAGTTTCAACGAGAAGTTATGAACCAATGTCCTATCATCCCAAAACGATAAGACTTATCCTCGGTTTCTTCGAACTTTGACCAACATTATCCTAAGGGCGCTTCAGGGGCCTATTTGGTTCTTATTCATCAAAATATCTCTCACGGTTATTATGCAAAACAAATCTGCCACGACCACGCCTACTATCGGCTCCACATCCACGGTTAAATCCACATCCATGGCCTTGTCTGCGATCTCGTCTGCAATTGTATCTAGGCATATTGTTCAAATACTGAGTTATATTCATTTCAGAAATGGACTTGCACCAGTTGGCCTCGATTCATGATTTTTAATAATAATTCGTAATTCTGCTCAACAACAAAGAGACAAGTAATAAGATCACAATATTTAGTAAAACCTCTTTCTTGATATTGTTGCTGCAAAACTATATTACATGCATGAAACATAGTGAACGTTTTTTTCCAGCATATCCCTATCATTAATATTTTCTCCATAAAATCTTAATTGGGACGTAATTTTAAACATCATATAATTATAATCCGCAACTGTTTTAAAATCTTGCAAACACAAGCATTGTCATGCGTGTTTCGCTTTTGCCAATATAACTGACTTTAGATGGCCAAATAGATCATTTAAATTTGTCCATAATTCAAATATATATCTTTTACCATGAGGTATTCCATTTTTAGGGCTTCGTCAATATGATGATGTAGGAAAATCATTGTCTTTGCACGTTCTTGGCTTGTGCATACATTTCCATTAATTATTCTTTTCGAAAGCCCTATGGATTTGAGGTGCATCTCGACATCTATTACTCACGAAATATAATTACTTCAGGTAATTGCTAGTGGGGTGAATTCAAATCTTCTTATATTAATCATAATAAAAAAAAATTAAATACTCACTAGAAATTTTGAAACAAAAACTTCAGTAGTATCCGAGTAGAACTTTCGGGAATGAAAATTATTTCAAAACACAATTTTTGAACTTGTTTTGACTAACTTAAAAAAAAAAATAACGCTAGCTTTATGTTAGCACTTTCTCGGCAAAATCTCATGCAGATAAAGTAGTGTTATAAAACATATAAGATAAGTAAATAAGTAAATCGATAAATAAGTAACAATAGTATATAATTGTATGTATATGGATATATAAATATATTTATAAGTAAGGATACGCAATAAAGTATATGCATATAAACGTATATATTCCGTGCGTGTGTTTTGCAATTGAGAGAGAAATAGATGGAGGAAAGCGATGGAGAGTGAATGACAATTGTGTACTCTTATTCTCTAACCAATTAATACAATGAGCAAACCTATTTATAGGCTTTAGAAATTAGATTAATCAATAAGAATGATGATTTTTCAATTGAATTGAATGACACATATGCATATGTTAGAACACAATGCAATTTATATATGTAAAAACTTATATTTAATCCAAGGAATTGTTCTTTACTATTTTTAGATGGGATGATTCTCAATAAATATTATTAAAAACATATCATATACATATTAATATAATATATATATATATATAATATATACATTTTATTTACTCACAAAATGTCAATAAGTAAATACAAAATATTAAATTTTATATTACCGATATAATTTTCATACTTAAAAAAAAAAAAAAAAAAGTGAACAAACCCATTATTATGCGTCAAATTTATAAA